AAAAAAAAAAAAAAGAAAAAAGAAAAAGAAAGAAAGAAAGAGTATGGATTAGGTATGGACACTTTGGAGTCAGGCAGTCAGGGTCTGAGTCTGAGTTTCCTCATCTATAAAACTTCCATAAAGTAAGAAAGGATGTTTAAGACCCCCAGCACAATACTTGAGACAAAGAGGTGCTCAGTAAATATTAACTGTTACTATTATTGTGGTTATAAATAACAGGTAGTCATAATCTAAAAGTTATTTATCATCGGTGTTGTAATTTAATAAACAATCACAACACTAAGTTGTACCCAGCAGTAAGTCACACAGGAACTTAGGAGGTGATTAGTCATCCATAGACATGGACATTGTATAATGACAATTGGCTGTCCTGTCTCTGGTAAAAAGAGCAATAATTATAAAGCCTGTGAGAAACAATGCAAAGCAGTATGAAGAAAGTTGTGGGTGATTTTTTACATTAAAAAAAAAAAAAAATTAGGGTAGGGAGAGACCTATACTAATTTTTAACTTATCCTGACTACAATGGCTAAAATACAGCCCAGAGGCAAAGGATGAATGAGGTGAACATCAGACACTTTCACCAGTGGGAGTGTCCACCCGCCAGCTGCTCCTGCAATTCCCCCTGCTCCACTGTCTCCATTTCCCACTCTTTCTGAGTACTTAGAAAAAAAAACAAAAAACAAAAAACACCCATTCTCTAGACTCCTAAGAGTTGATGTAAAATTTTCTCAGTCTGGTTATGCTTGATGGTGCTTTTATAATCACCCTAGCATTTATACTGATTTATACTGTTTGTCGATTTATACTGTTTATCTCAGTAGCTTTAAAATGTAAAACTACAGAAAGAAGAGTAGGATGACTTCCTAAGATTGACTTCCATCTGGGAGAGGCCAAATCAATTATTCAAAATAAAGAATCTGCAATGTAAGGTGAGCTATGGAGCTATTAATAAAAATTTCAAATCCTTCAAAAATGACAGAGTTTCACTGCAGTAAAACAAAAACAAAGCAAAACAAAACAAAAAAGAAAAAAAAATTGAAATTCTTGAGAAAGACTGAATTATCAGATTTTTAAAATTCCTCTAGTTTTAATTAGTGATTAGAAAGGGTAAATAGGGTAAACTCTATTTCCCCAACACTGACTGTGAATTGAAATTCTTGTGAAAGACTGAATTATCAGATTTTTAAAAATCTTCTAGTTTTAATTGGTGATTAGAAAGGGTAAATGGTAGAGCCCTGGTATCATTTTGCATGAAGAATTGAAGAGGACACCACCATTCTAAAAAGACACAATGTTTTTTGACAAGGCTGCCCAAAAGTGGAGAAATGGATTTGAGTTCTCTTAAAGGGAAAGAGAACAGCACATAACCATTTTTCAAACTACAACTCAGATCTCTGTTGTTGTTGTTGTTTGAGACAGAATTTTGCTCTAATTGCCCAAGCTGGAGAGCAGCGGTGATTTCGGCTCACTAGAACCTCCATCTCCTGGGCTCAAACGATCCTTCTACCTCAGCCTCCTGAGTAGCTGGGATCACAGGCATGCACCACCAAGCCTGGTTATGTTTTGCTTTTTTTTTTTTAGATGGAGTTTTATTCATCGCCCAGGCTGGAGTGCAATGACACGATCTTGGCTCACTGCAACCTCCACTTCCCAGGTTTAAGCAATTCTCCTGCCTCAGCCTCCCAAGTAGCTGGGACTACAGGCAAGTACCACCATGGTCAGCTAGTTTTTTTTATTTTTTAGTAGAGATGGGGTTTCACCATGTTGGCCAGGCTGCTCCTGAACTCCTGACCTCAGGTAATCCACCCACCTCAGACTCCCAAAGTGCTGGGATTACAGGCGTGAGCCACCACAAAATATAAACGCCCAGACATTTTTGCATTTTTTATACAGATGGAGCTTCATTCACCATGTTGCCCAGGCTGGTCTTGAACTCCTGGGCTCAAGTGATCTGCCCTCCTTGGCCTCCCAAAGTGCTGGGATTACAGGCGTGAGCCACCACAAAATATAAACGCCCAGACATTTTTGCATTTTTTATACAGATGGAGCTTCATTCACCATGTTGCCCAGGCTGGTCTTGAACTCCTGGGCTCAAGTGATCTGCCCTCCTTGGCCTCCCAAAGTGCTGGGATTACAGGCGTGAGCCACCACAAAATATAAACGCCCAGACATTTTTGCATTTTTTATACAGATGGAGCTTCATTCACCATGTTGCCCAGGCTGGTCTTGAACTCCTGGGCTCAAGTGATCTGCCCTCCTTGGCCTCCCAAAGTGCTGGGATTACAGGCATGAGCCACCATGTCCTGCCAGATCTTTGTTTAAGGGGCTAAGAATCAAGGCAAATAGGGAAAACTTGTACCCAGATGCGGCCACCGATAATACTCTACCTATTCTCTGTCTCCAGTTCATTCTTGCGTAGATTTGCATCATCTAGAAGGCTCTGCAATAAGGCTATTTTTTCATTGTCCGAACCTTCTTGGTTAAGTTTTAACATCTTATTCTCATGCTGAAGACGAATAAGTTTCTCCCTGAATGAGCAAAATAAAAACTAAATATTATATACACAGTCATTTGGTGCATTAACATTCAATACAAGTATCAAATCCAGCCAAGCACTCTTACAAATTTAATACCAGAACAGAAATGAAAAACAAAGAACTTGCAACAAATTCAGCTATTATAGCTGGCAAAGACATTACAATTCAGATTTTAAATATTTTCTTTATAGAACGGATAATATGAAAATAATATAGTCTCTATCATGATTTGTAATTAATGTGATTTCAAAATCCTATTTCTTCTCTGGTTTAAATATTTAAGCTATGAATGCATTTATTTATTTATGTGATTCTTATCAGAGAACATAATCTCTAATGCTACGCTCTTAAGTTACCAATCATTTGGTGGCAAGATATTATATTCAACAAGAATCACTTCAACACATTCAGTCTACCCATTGCTGTAGATATGTAAAATTAAATTCTTGAAACAAGCCAGATCATTATAATCAGGTTTTTGGACTGCATTGTTTTGGACTCTGCATATGCCAAAAGCTTAACATTAAGGGATATTAAAAACAGTAACCATACAGAACTTGCCACCACATTTTCTGCAGGGACAATATAATTGTTAGTTCCTATGAAGACATACTTGTTGAAGATATAATTCATTCTTCTTTACACAGGGTCATCTGTAGAGGGCCCCATAAAGATAGTGTGAACAGATACCACATACTAAGAAAAGCTGTGGAAAAGCTTCTTGTGGAAAAAGAAAAATCAAGAAAGAAACATGTACACACACACATTGCTCTTATTTTGTAAACACAATAAATCTTACAAAGTATTTTTAGTTTTGCTACTGAAAAGATGAACCAAATCGTGATCTAATTCAAGCAACTATTTAGAATTTGATGTATTTTGTTACAGGCAACATGGACTTTATCTTTTTCAGTTAAAAAGTAAATACACGGCCGGGCGCGGTGGCTCAAGCCTGTAATCCCAGCACTTTGGGAGGCCGAGGCGGGTGGATCATGAGGTCAAGAGATCGAGACCATACTGGTCAACATGGTGAAACCCCGTCTCTACTAAAACTACAAAAAAATTAGCTGGGCATGGTGGCGTGTGCCTGTAGTCCCAGCTACTCAGGAGGC